ACGAGAATTCGATCGAAAATTGGAGGGGACAGATGTCTCGACGCGGTTTATTTAGTTTAACCGAATGATCCCATGGGAGGCTGAAATGCTAATTCATTGCCGCATTGAATAGCGTTTCCCTCAAATTCTCCATGAATCTGAAAGTGGCCGAATGGGGAAAAAATGCTTTGGAACAGGTGTGCACCATTTATCTAACCTCGTCCGCCCGAGTTTACTTTATCTACCATCGGTGTATCTAACTCAAAGTTGTCCGCCATTGGCCGCCGAATTGTACAAAAACGAAGGTGATTCATTACGCTTCCAATTCTGCGCTTTTCTTGCAGAATTTTAACGTGAACGATTCTTGCGAATAATCTTGAAAATAATATTTTTCTTTCTTTTTCTCTTTCTTTTTAAGTGAACGGTTCGCGAAACAATCGTTCTCGATGCCTTATTCGAGGTACTTTATCGAAAGTTACGATTGAATTAGGGTTTTATATTCAAGCAATATTCTAGCTTTACAAATTCTTGCATTTTTTATGCAATTATATCTTTTGTTCGAATATAGTGTCTCAAGTATTGGAACAATCCATGGGCAAGTACAAGTACAAGCGACAAATTGAAAGATATTAACATAAACTTGCATCAACATGCGTTTAATTTATAAAGTTCGAGTAAATAAAAATTCTTCTGTTCTTCTTTATCCGATATTTAATTGATTCCATGATGAAAAGAATTACTTTTTTATTTAAGCTATAATTAACCCTTTATTGATTAAATAATTGTAACTAAAAATTAAAAATATTTTTACAATCTTCCTAGCAATTAAAACTGTCACGTTCCATTAAATGCAAAAAAAAAAAAAAAAAAAAAAAAGAACCTGCATTCTTACAGATAATATAATTTAACCAAAATTAATTTTTTCTATTATATCTCTCTTTTACCTCGACCAAAACGACCATGTGAAAACTGGATCAAGTATCCCTTGTTAATCGTCGATGAAACGGCCTCGTTTCACGGCAATTAACATTTCAAACAGGATTTTCTCGGCTTCCGGAAAAACCGCGGCATCTCTCCCCTCCTCCCCCTCCTCCCCAAACGAAACGCCGCCCCGTTGGACGATAATTACCCTCGGCGTGGATGATGAATCGTTCGAAATATTTTGTGGAACATCATCGGGGACGGGCGTCGTTAATTCATTCCTGGACACGGAGGCCAGCAGCAGATAAATGCGTGGCGGGCCGACGGTGGCGTTCGAGCGTTATAAATGACGTCCGTATTCATAATTTTCGAAACGCCACCGCCCAGTGACAGGCCTACAGGGATTATCTATCGGTTGGACGAGGCCGGTATCAAGGTCCCCGCCCATTTCTGATAACCACCCTATCCCCCGCCCCCTATGACGACCTTTTCCATCGAATCCACTAAATTCTTCGCACGAAAGTGATTCGATCATTCGATGGATAACGATCTTATTCGAAGGAATACGAATCTTCTTTATCGGGGAAAGGAGAAGGAGCGTGAAATAATTCTAATGAAAGCCGGTGATTAGAATCGAAGCGACGCCAAGACTCTGAGCTCGAAGCATTCCGCTTGGATTTTTCCACGCCATATTCGTTTCCATTGTTCGACGACGAATTTAGTCGAGAAATTTGCTCGCGCGAGAAACATCGGGAGGGAGGAGCGAATGCCCGCCTCTCTCGAAAGTTCACGTTGCGATGACGCAATACCGAAGGATGGGAAAGTTGAACGAACGGTCGATAATATTCAAGCCTTTTACTTCATCATCGTCGTCATCATCATCATCATCATCTCACTATCTATCTATCTATCAAATTTCGAGAAAGATTGCGGAAGAACGGGATTAAGAAAGGGGATCTTATTTAATCTCTCTCGAGAAGCGTGATTCTCCAGTAACGTTTACGTCGTCACCCACGTCGAGCTCGATCGATAAAAAAGGAACACTCTCGAGGAAGGTTGTCTTCTAATCAACTAGTCAGAGAGACCGGTGGAAAGAAACTGGGCGATCGATGAAATTCTGAATCTGAGCCACTCGAGAGATCTTGGGAGGACGCGCGGGTAATTGGTCTCGCGCTGCACGAATGGCAAAAAACATGGTGGGGGGAGGGGGGAGAAACGGGAGGGCGAAATAGTCGTGCCGATAAAGAAGGGAGAGATCTAGCGTGGTTTGTCGTTATCATCCGCAAAAACGGACGGTTGAGGTTGGATGAGAGGTCGGCCAGGAAGCCGGGCCCGGCCTAACAAGGGCAGTTTTTAGACCGAGTTGAATGCATTATGGATGGCCGGAGTTATGTATGACTCTATCATGGTTGGAGCCTTCGAGTGCCATCGAGTGCGCCTCCACCCCCTTGGCTCTCTCAGCGTCGGGATACACGTTGGTAACGACACCACGGAGGGGAACTTCTCTTCCTCCAGATTTTTTTTTTTTTTTTTTACG